TTCGGAGTTGGTCGATCTGGTTGATCTTCTGCTGGACTTGCGAGGTATTATCATTAGCCACCGTGATCGGTTCTTCATTTCTAACTTCAAAAGCTTTTACACTTTCAACCAAGTCGGCGTGCTCCCGCCTTAGGACCGACGCTTCTTTCTGAGCCGCATCCAGCACGGCCTGAAGGTTCTTAATGACCCTTCTTGTTGCCCGCTGAGAAGCTTGTACATCTCCCTTTTCTGGGCAAGCTCGTGACCTCAAACTCGAGCTGATTGACCTTAATCTGGTATCGAAGGAAGCTCTCGTGATGAAGTAATGAGGCTTGCAAAAAGATAAAAGACGTGAGAAATATCAAAACCTAAGTAAAGTACGAAGGAGCATAATGATGCCTTACCCGGTTCAGCGCCTACTGCGCCTCATTGAAAAGGCACGACACGTTCACCTCATTTATTTTTGCCTGGTCCTCCTCGGTCACCAGGCATCGGAGGTAGCTAGCTATTCCTACAGGAGCAGACAAAACCTGGGCATCCTCCGGGATGGTCAGAATAACCGATCTCTTATGACCGGGGTCCACACTCAGAGCAGGGAACTGGTTGATCGATTTCGGGTTTGAACTCGGCCCGCCAGCTTCCGAGGATGTGTCCTTCTTCCGAACTTCCAGGTCGCTCAGCCCGGAGAAATCTTCCAAAGCGAACAAGTCCACACCATCGAAAAGTGAGATAAGGGGATCGTCCGCACCGTGGACTTCTTCATTGGACTTCTCCTTTCTTTCTTGAGCCTCCTCGAGCATGGAGTCGGTGTAGGAGGGCATCTCGGAAATCTCTATTATATTAGGCGCTTCCTTCGGGGCAGAGTCGGCATCCTGGGGAGTCCCACCCCGGGTCTCCACATCGATCTCTTGAGTCTGAGGGAGGTCGACCTCACGAGTCTCCCCCTCGGATGCCTCCTGCTCCCCGGGAAAGGTCGTATCGTGAGTAATGCAAATGAGCTCTTCCTACGGCTTGTCCCTGAGCCGGAGGAGAGAGTCCGGCACCCTGGAGCTAGAGCTCTTCCTAGGCTTACGGGCTACCCTCTTCTTTGGTTTCTTCACCTCAGAGCCCGGGGAGCCCGAAGGTTTTCTCTTCTTTTTCTCCACGACAGCCCCGGGCTTCCCCCTAATGGAGGGATCAACGGGCAAAGACACGTCCTCGTCCCCTTTCAAAGGCCTAAGTTCGATGGTCTTAGGCAAACCTACAATAACAAAGAGGAAGAGAAAGTCAGTATAGTGAAAGCGAGAAGCATGAAATTAAATATTCAAAGAGAGACCTTACTATGAGAAGGAGAATCCCATCGGCCCTTCGAAAGCCCGCGCCATGCACGCTCGGAGTACGTCATCTGAGTACAGATGATGCCCTCGATCCATTCCTTCAGATGGGGGACCGCGTTTAGAACCCGGACGACAGCTGCACAACCACAAGTATGAATTAGAAATTAAAAAAATAAATAAAATAAATAAATTTTTTGACGCTCAAGGAAAGACTACACTTATGAGATGCATTCCACTTCTCAGGGAATGGCATATACTCGGGGGGAATCAAGTCTACGATCTTCACCCAAATAAAGCGTCCCTGCCAGCCCCGGTCTCGGTCTTCGTCGATGCTCAAAAAGGGAGCCTTGTTGGCTCGGTGAGTAAGCTTGATAAGTCCCCCTCGGATAATTAAGGGACTGTATAAATGAAGTAGATGATGGATCGCGAACCAACGAGACTCGGTCTTGTTCAGGAAGTAGTGAAGGAGGATGACGATCCTCCATAGTGATGGATGGATTTTCCCGAGGCACACCCCGTACCTCTTGTAGAAACCCAGAACAACCGGGTTCACCGGGCCCAATGTGAAGGGGTAAGTATAAACACTTAAGTACCCCCTCCACGTGGGTAGTAATGGCATCCTCGGCCTAGGGACTAACACATCATTTCCTTCCCAATTGCAGTCCCTTCGAACTACGGGAAGAATATCTTCGGTCACAGAGCATATGCACCTTGAGGCCCCTTTACCTGGTACTGTTTGTGTGAGGGTTTCTCGACCTTAAAGTCGTCTACAATTGAGCAGCCCCCTAGAATAAACACTTTCAAGGGAGGCTTAGGGGCCGGTTCATCGGCAGCCACCTTGGGAGAAGCCGTTTCGAGGGCAACTACTTCAGGAGCAACCGCCTCAGTACCGGCGGCCGGTTGGGAAGATGAAGAGGCAACTTGTTGAGGAACAGATTTGGATGTTTTAGCTATTATTATCTTGGGATGTTTGAAAATTTGAAGAAAGAATGTGAAGTTTTGAAAGGACGAGTTTTGAAGATGAAGAATAGAGTATGAAGATTTGAAGGAAATATGGGTAAATACCTGAAAATCACTATGAAAATTGAAGAACAAGGATGAAGATATGAATGTTTGAAAGAAGTTTGAAGATAGCGAGAAAGCTCGAAGGTAATAGCTTGGTCAAAAAATAGAAAAAGAACAAAGGATGGAAGGTGTTATAGGGAAATAGGCAACGCTTCGCATTCGGGGGCAACCAGCCGATGAGCGATACGTGCCCAAAGTCAGAACGACGCGACTGATGGGACGTTTCGGCTTCTTCATCGTAATGTACGTAGGAAGAAACCGGAGAGCATCTATCGTTTTCCATTGTTTCGGCAAACCTACTCTCTGAGAAACGAGGGGACTATCTGTATATGGATAAAATCGAGCCCAATGAGCACCCTGATTTCCTAGTGAGGCAAAGGGAGCAAGGACATGACTATAAGGAATCGAAATCAGATCCAGGAGCCTCTCGTATCGGGGCCCAAGAAAAACACCTTCCCTCAGAGCCATCGGAACCACGTCCCCCGAGTCCGGTTCGAGTCCCAAGACTTCGGAGAACATTACCACACGATAGCACACGACTAACAAAGGGCCATGATATACGTGCCCAACCGGATATCACGGTGTGAATCTCGGCCTGTATCGGCAGAAAATCAGTGACTAGCGAAAAGGAAGATTTTTTCCTTTCGTATAATTGTACCTAGGGTAAAACTCCCCTACTATATAAAGGGGAAGATAATTATTCATTAGAGACTCTGTAGCATGCATACCAAGGCAATATACTTCTGTTCTCTCTATTTCTGAAAGTTATTTAAAGTTCTTGATAAGTGCTAGCTCGGAACCGAAGGTAGGTTCCTTGTTAGGCCTTTAACCGAGCTCGGACTCAATATCATCATTGGTTTGGCTACTTACTTTATCTTTTATTTGATTATCTAACGTCATTAATCACTTGTATTGAATTAATCCACATATCCTTAAAACTGTATATAAATTCAATTATTATCCATTATTAAGGGTAAACAATTAGAATTTGGAAAAATAAACGTGAATATATAATTGGTCATGCTTCCAAATTCAGCATTTATTTCTCAAGCGTATAAATGGAAAGCCCATTCAATATTAATGCGATACTTAGACCATCCAGTCGTGGGAATATGATATTATATAACCGCTCTCAAAATAATAGTCATATATATATATATATATATATATATATATATATATATATATATATATATATATATATATTCTGTATGTTATATACAAAAATTATATAAATTTTATACACTTTCGACTATGGAATATAAATAGTTTCTGGCGCGGGCTAAAAGTGAAAAAAGCCCTCCAAATCTAAACTTTGATTCTATATATAAAATTAAAATTACTAAACACGCAAGTAATCTTCAGTAATTTAAACAGTTCCCTTTAAAATTTTAACAGTATTATACTCAGTGGCGGATGTAGCACTCGGATACCGGATTCATCTAAACCTAGTACTTTTTAACGCACAACATAAATTTATGTATAAAAATCCACTAAAATTGCAAAAATAATAGGTCTGAATCGTTAATTTTAAGGTTAAACTCATAGAACTTAAATCTTAAATTCGTCTACTGTTATACTAACAACACAAAGGTTCTTTTAGTTCGTACATCATAAAAGGAATTATTTCTAGGCCATTATAGAAACGACGAAGACAGTGAGAAGAGTAGTTTGATCAGTTAAAGAGTAAGCAACTATATTCCAAAAATTTCAAGAAGACAGCTTAAAGATCAATTAACAATGTATCAAATAACAATATTAATGTCCAAATTCGGTGATTTTTAACAATTCCTGACCAATGGATCTTTCTTATTGTCGATTTCGGTTTTAATACTCTCGTCAAATCGAACAAATGGTCTCGTTCTGAAAACTTGATTATAACTTCGAGACTCCGCTCATTCCCCTCGGGTAAAAACTATTCATGAGCTTCATGGTAATAGAAAGAATATTAAAAATATTTCTTTTATTTGGAATATCATTATCCAGGGATGGGATATTTGTAGTAAAGGAATTACTTGAATACCCCATAAGTTATCATCTCTCAATGCCTGGAACACTCGTTGAATCCACCAATCCTCACTGTTACACCAATGCATCTATGGTCCCCTTGCCCAAAAAGATAACTTACTAACCATTAAGGACTTATGGATTAACAATCAGCGGGACTTATCAAAAATTTCTATGGAGCTTCATCCATCCTTAATAAACAAAATAAAAGTCACCACTCGTAATTTTAATAATTACGACACCCATATTTGGTCACTAACCACTAATGGTCACTTTACCAGTAAGTCCTGCTATAGATTAGACACTCACCCAATCATAACTCAGGACTTTACTTGGATTTGGGAACTCTCTTGTCCCAACAAAATAAAATTCTTACTATGGAAATGCTTTCATAACAAACTCCCTACGAGAACCTACTTAAACCATATTGGTATAAACATTGACCCTACTTGCACCTTTTGTAAGAATGATAAGGAAATAATTACCCACATTTTTATGCACTGCACAGCCGTAAAAGATTTCTGGCTACACTTAGGCATAAACATAATCAGCTGGGATTCATCGAGTAATTGGCTAACAAACATTTGTGACCTTAACTGTTTACTAATAAAGGGAACCATTAATTGGAAAGAAATGTTTCCCTTTGCTATATGGCCTATTTGGGTTAATAGAAACAATAACCTTTTTAATAACACTACTAACAAAGCTTTTATGCAATATGCTTATAAGCTAGCAGTGGAATATAAACTCCTCACAGAAAAGGAAACTATGCCACAACAAAAAATTCCTATCTTGGCAAAATGGCTTAAACCTACTTGTAACCATATTAAGCTTAATACTGACAGCTCATTTAATGAAGAAACATCTACATGTGGCTTTGGTGGTCTATTCGGGGACAACAATGGTAAATGGGTGCTTGGGTTCCAGGGGTCTCTACCAGGCCTATCTCTCTTGCATGCTGAGCTGATGGCACTAAAGACAAGCCTATATCTTGCAATGGAACAAGGATTCACTAACTTAGAAGTGGAATCAGACTCGACGGATGTCATTAACTGCTTACAAAATGGTAACACGCTGCTTAAAAACATTATTCATAAATGCAGGTTATTGATGCACCAGGCGAGAGTTCAAACGATCAGGTACACCTTCAGATAGGCCAACAAACCAGCTCACAAGCTGGCTAAGCATGCTCTTCGTGTCAACAATGGCAGGGATCTCAAAACTATGCACTATACACCACCTTTTGTAACCGCCGTCTTATCCAGTGACTATGAAGGTTCTATCTAGCTAGTTAAGAATATTTCGAAAGATGCATGCACTAAGCTTGCATCTCTTGGAAACACAAATGTCCTACGTGACATTACTATGTTAGGTAATAGCCAAGTAGGTAATGTCCCTTTCGGCAATGTTGACTATGTAAACTCTGTTTTATGATGTTGATATAATAGATCCCTCCTTATCAAAAAAAAATCTTCGATTAATGCATTGGACTATTTTTTTGTTGAATTTAACCGTATGAATATTGTAACTCACTCGTATTTAGTAATTAAATTTGCATTACATCCATTAGTTTAAAAGAAAAATACTTCATACTAAAATTTCGTTATTTACTGTGGTCGAACTCGAGACTTATCTATATATTATTAAAAGGAGAGGAAAAAGTTATTTCCTTAAGCCAAGTGACAGCCTAGAAAAAAGTCACATGGCATAAGTAGTTAATAATTAGTTATTTAGTAAATAATTAGTTATTGTTTATTGTTTTTGTATACGGGTAAAAATCGAACTCATGATACACTCCGGCCTCCAATAGGATAAACGAGCTCGAGATATGATTGCGAAGGATCGGAATCGAAGCAAATGTCTCATCGAGTCAGAATCCGGGGACATGATGCCTTCCATCGAGAATATCGGGGTTATGATTCGAGATCGATCCTAATCCTGAAAGACTTCAGAGAACATTGTCGGGCAATCAAACATGAACAACAGAAGGTTGTAATATCCACGACCGGCTAGATATCACTGCGTGGATCTTGGCACATATCGATGAAGAACTGACAATCAGTTAAACAGAAGATTTTTTTACCCTTTATGGAATTGTACTTAGACTAGGATTCCCCTACTAAATAAAGGGAGGTCTGATAATTCATTAGACATATTGTAACATGCATTCCAAAGCAATATACTACTATTTTCACTATTATTGCAAGTTTTTTCTCTCGTTCATCAAAATTGTCCACTGTGAGCCCGGATCGAGGGTGAATACTTCACTAAAGTTGTGATCATCCTCCTTGCGTGGTTTGAATTTACTGTATATTTAGTTGTTCATTGTAACCCAATTTATCATTTTGTATCAAATTAATTCGCATATCCTTAAAATCACTTATAAATTTAATTGTTATCCAATTTTGAGCATAAACAGCTTGGCACCCATCGTGGGGCTAAGGATAATACTAGAAATTTGATACAAATTTCCATAATACACCCTACTTCACACTTGTTCTTTGAAGTGTCTTTGATTTCAAATCTAAGTTTAAAATGTCGAACTGCCAATCTGCCCCTCGAAACACGGATGCTGTGTTTGGCCACCATGGCGAGAACAACAATATGATGTCCGATAACGAGGTGTCCCATGCCAATCCCAATGGAATCCCGATCGTGGACCCGATCGACGCTAACTCACATATGGCCATTAACGCGAATTTTCCTACCGATCCTGAGAACAGCGTTCGCGGGGGAGTCCGATCGGTAGCCCAAAATACACGTAACGTTGAAGGAGATGGGATTGACTTGTGGGTGATCTTCAAAATGTTGCAGGCTTAGCAGGCAGCGATAGCCCAACTGCAGAACCAAATCCATGCTCCTAGTAGAGTTGAGCCCGAACCATCTCGGGAAAACACTCATGAACCAGCCACAGATAGGCCAAATGAAGCTGAACCCGGGACCAATCCTGAGATAATAAAGATGCTCGAGGAATTAACAAAATGGGTAGAAACGGGAGAAAAGAAAATCGAAGCCAGCAACAAGAAGGTGGAGACCTACAACCCAGGGTCGAACAAATCCCCGGAGCACCACCAAAACTAAAAGGCCTAGATTCCAAAAAGTTTGTTCAAAAACCTTTTCCTCCGAGCGCAACTCCGAAGCCGATCCCAAAGAAGTTCTGCATGTCTGAAATTCCTAAGTACAACGAAACAACTGATCCAAAAGTCACATGGCATAAGTAGTTAAAAGGAGAGGAAAAAGTCATCTCCTTAAGCCAAGTAGTAGTCTAGAAAAAAGTCACATGACATAAGTAGTTAATAATTAATTATTTAGTAAATAATTAGTTATTAGTTATTGTTTTTGTATACGGGTAAAAACCGAGCTCATGATACACTCCGGCCTCCAATAGGATAAAACAAGCTCGAGATAGGATTGCGAAGGATCGGAATCGAAGCAAATGTCTCATCGAGTCAGAATCCGGGGACACGACGTCTGCCCTCGAGAATATCAGGGTTATTATTCGAAATCGATCCAAATCCTAAAAGACTTCGGAGAACATTGTCGGGAAATCAAGCACGAATAACAGAAGGCTGTAATATCCGTGACCGGACAAATATCACTGCGTGAATCTCGGCACATATCGACGAAGAACCGACAATCAGTTAAACATAAGATTTTTTACCTTTTATGGAATTGTACTTAGACTAGGATTCCCCAACTGTATAAAGGGAGGTCTGATAATTCATTAGACATATTGTAACATGTATTCCAAAGCAATATACTACTATTTTCACTATTATTGCAAGTTTTTTCTCTCTTTCATCAAAATCGTCCACTGTGAGCCCGGATCGAGGGTGAATACTTCACTAAAGCTGTGATCACCCTCCTCGCGTGGTTTGAATTTACTGTATATTTACTTGTTCATTGTAACTCAATTTATCGTTTTGTATCAAATTAATTCGCATATCCTTAAAATCACTTACAAATTTAATCGTTATCCGATTTTGAGGATAAATAGTTTGGCGCCCACCGTGGGACTAAGGATAATATTGGCAATTTGATACAAATTTTCATAACACACCCTACTTCACACTTGTTCTTTGAAGTGTCTTTGATTTCAAGTCTAAGTTTAAAATGTCGAACTGCCAATCTGCCCCTCGAAACACGGATGTTGAGTCTGGCCACCATGGCGAGAACAACAATATGGTGTCCGATAACGAGGTGCCCCATGCCAATCCCAATGGAATTTCAGCCGTGGACCCGATCAATGCCAACTCACATGTGGCCATTAGCGCAAATTTTCCTACCGATCCTAAGAACAGCGTCCGCGGTGGAGTCTGATCGGTAGCCCAAAATACACGTAATGGTGAAGGAGATGGGATCAACTTGTAGGTGATCTTCGAAATGTTGCAGGCTCAGTAGGCAGCGATAGCCCAACTGCAAAACCAAAGCCATGCTCCTAGTAGAGTTGACCCCAAACCATCTCGGGAAAACACTCATGAACCAGCCACAGATAGGCCAAATGAAGCTGAACCCGGGACCAATCCTGAGATAATAAAGATGCTCGAGGAATTAACAAAACGGGTAGAAACGGGAGAAAAGAAAATTGAAGCCAGCGACAAGAAGGTGGAGACCTACAACCCAGGGTCGACCAAATCCCCGGAGCACCACCGATACTAAAATACCTAGATTCTAAAAAGTTTGTTCAAAAACCTTTTCCTCCGAGCGCAACTCCAAGCTGATCCCAAAGAAGTTCTGCATGTCTGAAATTCCTAAGTACAATGAAACAACTGATCCAAATGAACATGTGACCTCATACACGTGCTCCATCAAGGGGAATGACTTAGACGATGATGAGATCGAATCTGTCTTGCTGAAAAAGTTTGGAGAGACCTTGTTAAAAGGATCTATGATATGGTATCACAACTTACCTCCCAATTCTATTGACTCATTTGTTATGCTTGCAGATGCTTTTGTAAAAGCACAGGCCGAAGCCATCAAGGTCGAGACCAGGAAGTCGGGCCTTTTCAAGGTAACGCAAAGAGATAACGAGATGCTCAGGGAGTTCGTGTCAAGGTTCCAAACGGAACGGATGGACCTGCCGCCGGTGGCGGATGACTGGGCCATTCTATCCTGCACCAAAGAACTCAATACTTGACGCTCATTGGCTTCGTAGCAATTGAAGCAAAATCTAGTAGAATATCCGGGTGTAACTTGGGCCGATGTGCATAACCGATATCGATCAAAAATTAGGGTCGAAAATGATCAGCTTAGAGCCCCTTTTGGGTCTATTTATCCCATCCGAGATAGTGACAGACCCAAAAGAGACATTGACCGTGAACCAAGGTCAAGTAGAGATCGGTATCACCCGTACAACGGTGATCGTAGGGGTAACGGTTCTGGACGCAACCCTGTGAGGAGTGAAAGAAGAAGCGATCAAGGTTAAAATAACCGAGGACTCATGAGCAAAAATGGTTTCGACAGGCCCATCGGTCCTAAGGAAGTGCCGAGGTTATCGGAGTAAAAATTCAACGTCGATGTCGCTGCCATCGTATCTGCCATCGGACTCATCAAAGACACCAAGTGGCTTCGATCTCTACAATCCGATCCAACCCAAATAGATCCCAACTTAATATGTAAATATCATGGCACTCACGGCCACAGAACATAAGATTGCCGATAATTGAGAGAGGAAGTAGCCCGGTTGTTCAACAATAGACATATCCGGGAATAGATATTCTAGCAAGCAGATCGAGCAGGAGGATCCCCAGCACGTCATTAACAGATCATCGGTGGGGTCGACGTTCCCCAAGGGCCGATGTTAAAGCGCACCAAAGTATCCATCACGAGGGTAAAACGGACTCGAGATTATGTACCAGAAGGAACCCTGTCTTTCAACGATGAGGATGTTGAAGGCATCGTGTAGCCCTACAACGATGCACTGATAATATCTGTACTCATAAATAAATCTCGAGTTAAGCGTGTGTTAATTGATCCAAGTAGCTTGGCCAATATCATTAGATCGAGGGTCGTGGAACAACTAGGTTTACAAGACCAAATCGCGCCTGCAGTCATAGTTCTAAACGGATTCAACATGGCATGTGACCCCACTAAAGGGGAGATAACATTATCGGTGAACACCACTAGAACCATTCGAGAAACAAAGTTCTACGTGATCATAGGAGACATGAGGTACAATGTTATG